TCACATTTGGAGAACTTAGCATACAACTTCTCCTTCTTTAAGACTTTTAACACTTCTCGCAAGTGTTTGCCATGCTCTTCTTGGCTTTTCGAGTAAATCAAAATGTCATCTATGAACACTATCACAGATTTATCAAGGAAGGGTTTACAAACCCTATTCATAATATCCATGAATGCTGCTGGAGCATTGGTTAGTCCAAATGACATAACCAAAAACTCGTAGTGTCCATATCTTGTTCTGAAAGCAGTTTTCTCTATATCCTGCTCTTTCACCTTTAACTGATGATATCCTGTACTTAGGTCGATCTTTGAAAAATAGCTTGAACCTTGTAGCTGATCGAACAGGTCATCAATCCTTGGCAAAGGATACTTATTCTTTATTGTTGCCTTATATAGTTCTCTATAATCGATGTACATTCTCATGCTCCCGTCCTTTTTCTTTACGAATAACACCGGAGCTCCCCAGGGTGATGAACTAAGTCGAATAAAACCTTTGTCCAATAATTCCTGAAGTTGTGTCATAAGCTCCTTCATCTCAGTTGGTGCTAGTCGATACGGTGCTTTTGCTATTGGCGTTGTTCCTGGTAACAAGTTGATACGGAATTCTACTTGTCGATCAGGGGGTAATCCGAGAATATCTTCGGGAAAGACTTCCAGATAATCACACACCACCGGAATATTCTGCATCTCCTTCTTTTCTTTCTTAGCATCGATCACGAATGCTAGATATGATGTACATCCCTTGGCTAAACACTTTATGGCTTTCATTAGAGAAATGATTCCAGAGTTTACTCTGCGTTTGTCTCCATACACCATAAACGACTCTTTCCCTGGCGGGTTTACTTTTACTATCTTCTTCCTGCACAGTATTTCAGCATCATTGGCGCTAAGCCAATCCATTCCCAGCAAGATGTCGAAACCATTTAACTCAATAGGCAATAATTCCTCGTGGAACTTATTCCCATTCAAGTCAATGAAGATGTTTTTCATACGATAGCTAACATGTACAAACATGCTACTAGTAACCTCGACTATTAAAGCATTAACTAGTCTATCAACAGGAAAAGCTAGTTTTCTACCAAATTCATGCGAATTAAAGGAGTAGTTGGCTCCAGAATCGAACAAAATTTGGGCAGGCAATTCGTTTACGAGAAAGGTACGTGATGCAACATCCATTGCATCCTTTACAGCTTCCAGTGTCATCTGGAAAGCTCTGGCTTTTGGATTTGGTGGAAGATTGGGCTTTGTTGCTTCCTTCTTCTTCGGGCAGTCCTTCAAAATGTGCCCTTCTTCGTTGCACCCATAGCAGACTTTCTTATTGAAGGTGCATTCATTGGCATAATGCCCAGGCTTTCCACATTTGTAACAAGTGACTTCTTCTCTATATTTCCCAGCATGTTTCTTCTTACACTTGTCACACCACTTCTCTTCGGATCCTCCTCCGAATTTCCTCGAACCAGTCTTCGAGAATTTGTTCTTTTTATTGGAACCTGAAGTTCCTTCATACTTTCTCTTTTCGCCAACTTCAGCCTTGCTGGCGGCTCTCCCCTTAATCATATCTTCAACAGACTTGGCAGCCCAGAGGGCTGCCTCCAAAGTAAGTGCCTGATGCACTGGCACTGCATATTCTCATGGAAGTCCCTTTGCGTACCTGTCTATTTTCTTCAGCTCATCTGCAACAATACGCAAGGGAAACTCCATTTTGTTTGTGAAGTTATTGGTGTATTCATCAATGGTCAGACTTCCCTTCTTCAGTGTCAGAAATTGGTTTTCTAGTTCAAGCACATTTTGGGTCGAGCAGTACTTGCGCTTGAATTGCACCAAGAACTCTGCCCAAGTCAGTTGTAGTGGCTCATTAGGGCTTAGGGTCTTCCCCAAAGTGTTCCACCAGCGAACATCGCTACCTCTGAACTGACGCACTGCAAATGTGGTTTGTAACTTGCCTTGGCAACCACATGTCATGAAAGCCAATTCCATTTCCGAGATCCAATCCACTACTCCAACGAAATCTTCTTTTTAGTGAAAGTTGATGGCTTGCAAGTCATAAAGTCTTTATACTTGCATCCATTTCTCTCCACTCTATCCTTGTGGTTATTTCTCCTATCCACAAGCGGTTCAGTATGACCAACATATCTACTGTAGTTTCCTTCCCCAGACTGACTGTCATTTAATTCAGGTTGTTCAACAGGAATTGAAGGTTCACTCCTGTTTTTTAGCAATATTTGCCTCATTTCCTCCCTTTGTTCAGTCATCATTGTCTGAAATGGTGATGGGTTCTGGTGCAGCTTCTACTATTGGCACCTGTTCCATCACTTGGGGTTGAGGTTGTTGATTTCTATCTGCATTTCCAGCTCCACTTCAAGTTCTTTCCATTTTGATCTATATACCAAATAAGGCGAATTTGGATATTTATTCACGATAGACTTTTAAATTCTCCTTATCACTCCAAAACGTTTACATGCTAGTTCTAATATCGTAATCGTACACTTAGAATCCATAAACACATAAGGTTTCCAGATCCGGTCGGCAACAGACCATAGATCCGAACAAATAATGGCATATATGGCAAACATATAGCACTTAGCATATAAAAGTATTTTAGACATCTTTCCTAAAGTAAACTAGTGCTCGCATCTAAAATATGGTAGACACTTATGTCATGATCATCACTTAGCATTCTAAGTTTAAGTCTAGAATTCCTACAAATTCCTAGTTCGCTTAAACTAATGCTCTGATACCAACTGTGACATCCCCATTTTCACGGCCAGAAAATACCGATTTAATTTATGCTTTTAAAATAAAATCAGAGTAATCTTTTTTAAAAGATTTTGCGGAATTTGTCCCCAAAACAAGACATGATAAAAATTTATCAAAACATTTCTTAAAGAAATATATATTTTCTTTATATATCAAAACATTGGGATGTCATGTTCCGAAACAGACCAAAAGCATAAACAGTACATTATAAGCCTTACAACAGTTATTTACAACTACTGGCCTATAATCTAAAAATTCCTCGTCATCATCCAACTATGCTCTGGGTCCACTATCTGTAATATAAAAAGCTGAGTGAGTCAGGCTTTGGGAGTCTGGTGAGCATATAGGGTTTTGAACCCACAAATAATAATAATTTTGTTAAATTCATCAACCAAAAATAAATTTATTAATTTCATCAACCAAAAATAAATTTATTAATTTCATCAACCAACAATATCCCTGATTACCCGTTCCCGTTATCCTCACTTGACGTCCCTAAACACCTATCATAAGGGACCTAGTCTAAGGATTTTCATCGGGGTGACAAGACTGCTTTAGGGATTCCTCAGCAATTTATGTCAAATAAGGCAACCATGAGGGGGATGGAGTACACCAGCGAACATATAGTTCACCAACACCTACAGGTTTTGAACTTGCTAGCGTTCCACTGGACTGTCTAGAAAGGTCCGTGGTCGTCATCTATACTCCGCTAGATGACTACAACAACAACAACATCGAGGCTTCTCATCATTTTAACACACATCAACTATTTCATCTACCCATGTTTTACCCAACATATTTGTAGATAAAAATAAATATACAATTTAAAACTTGTATAAAATATCTATTCAACATCATCTCAAATAAATAAACAATATAATTACACATAGCACGTATTTTATAGAAAATACTTCATATCTATGTGTAAGATGAAAGTGACTACACACTCACCTGATAAGACGACGATTGGACAACACTTAGTCTCTTAAAACAATATTCTTCGATGAAACCGGGATATTTTCTCAAAAATCAGGCTTCACGTGGGCATAGTTTCAACTCGACAAACTCTTTTTCTTGGAGACTTCGGGGCCCCAGGATTGCTTCGGGTGCTAGGGGTGTTACCGGGACTTCGGGGGGTGTTAGGGAAATTTTAGAGAGAGTAGGGGGTGAAAAAGAGTAGATTTTCTAAACAAAATCCATAAGCCCTCGGTTTCTATTTATAGTGGCTGAGACCCGAATTACGCTGGGCGTACTGCTCTATTAGCCATTACGTTGGGCGTACCCTGATGCGTGGCATCAGACGTGTCAAACTTGCGTGATACGTGTTGATTGCGAGGAATAGGCGAGGTGGCCAATCTCGGACCGTGAACACGAGTACGCTGGGCGTACTCCGAATTTCCAAACTTCAAAAATTCATAACTTTTGCGTACGAGCTCTGTTTTCGACGTTCTTTATATCCACGCGTAGGTGAGATTATACTCTACAGCTTTCGTTTAGACTCCGTTGGCTAATTTTGATATAAATTTTAAAGTTATATTTTTAATAGGCTGGGACAGGAAAAGTCCGTTAAAAATTCATAACTTCTTCATCCGACGTCCGTTTTTGTCTGTCTTTTTACCGTTGCACTAATATCGACGAGGTCTTCGATTCTCGTTTAGATTGTTTTGGCTAAAAATCACTCGATCCAAATTTCGAGTTTTGGTTGCATACTGCTAAGTCGAAACTTAGAAAAATCATAACTTCCTCATACGAAGTCAGATTTGGGCGTTCTTTTTATGCATGCTCTCGGTTTAACGAGCTCTACGACTTTTATTTAGATCATTAAGGCTAAAAATCGTTCTATCGTAAATTCACTATTTACGTCACGCAGTGTCGTACCGGTTCTGTCGCGAAACTTCGACAGGTCATAACTTCTTCGTTATGACTCGGATTTCAGCATTCTTTATTTATCCGGAATCCTTGTCACGACCACTACAACTTCCTTCATAGATATTAGGTTTATATAATATTTTGTTTTTAATGCTTATTTTTATCCTTAATTTATCAAATCACAACAATTAAGCATAAAACAAATAATACTCAAATAATACATTTTTATTATTTCAAAACAGGTTACAAAGGTTAACCTAGACTATTACATCATCACTAATGTCTAGCCTAGAAACACGGGCGTTACAATATAACCTAATACAACATTGCTATAAAGGGGCACCTTCTTGTTTTAGTAAGTCATCATTAAGCTGTCTAAAGAAGTTGTCTAGACTCATGGATTTGTGACCAATAGCTAACAAATCCTGCTGTAAACAGATCTCGTCCAACAAATGGCTGCAAAAAGAAACTAGGGTTACAATCGAATTTCTAAAAGATATTAAATTTTATAAATGACACCTGTAACTGTGCCAGCCTGGCACATGTTCTTAGAGCTGGAGAAGGTGACTCCTTAAGTAATTCAAGGCTGAAATTTCTCATCCACTCTGCCCAATCTTCTTTACTGCTACGTTGAGAAGCTTCTCTAGCAGCACGTAATCTAGCATCATTAACCTGTTGGAAAAAGTAAAACCATGATTAAGTTATAAAACTTTATGTTTAATAAGAAAGTATAAGTGGAATATATATATATATATATATATATATATATACATATATATATATATATACATATATATATAATATATTTTTTAATACCTGGTGAACTTTGGGTTGTTTGTGAACATCTTCATAAGGATCATTCTCCATATCACTCAAAGGATCACTAATAACCTCCACAGGAGGTTGTCGGATTGACTTTTGTGCTGCTACACTGGCAAAAATTAAAGGTCCATGCCTTTATTACAAACCCAAAAAAAATTCATTAACCTGAACATGAGGGATTAATCTTATCAAGGTTTTTATAGGAGCACGCCTTATGTCAACAAAAGCATCCACTTTAAATAATCGTATGAGGGAAGGAAGAAGTAGATGCATATGTCCATCCAATGTTCCTGTAGACCAAAATTATATAATAATTAACAAATTATTGAGACATGTTAGGAGACTAATTATTGTAATTTCCATAATCACAATCACACTCACCACCAAAAACTTCCAAGGTGCGGAGAATATCACGGACATAAGTGTAATCATTACACCTTTCAGCATCACTCAGAACTTGAATACAACATTGAAGAATTATAGGAAGATATCTCCTGAATTCATCGTTCAGGGCCAGACAAAGTTGTTCAACTAGGTGCAGGATTTGATCATAAAGTCAAATTACATTATTGCTCTTTGTATAAAAGACAGATAGTAAAATCACACTTTACCAGGGGTCCATGAACAGGACGATTAGCTGTTGGGAGACTGAATGATGACCATAATTCTGATATTAAAGAAAGCAGCTCAGGTATATACTTGCGAATGTGCTGGAATAGCAACCAAGAATGGTTAATGATGACGTGGCGTTTAAGGAAATAGTTTTTGTAATCATACAAATACAATCCTACCTGGGGCACAATTGAAACAAGAGTTCCAAGCTTCCAAGTTATGAACTCCTTGAGAGTATCTTCACACGTACGAATAGTGTAAAAGAAGTCTGGTAAAACTTTTGGCAAGTAAGGCACACAGCCAAGACCCATTGACTAAAAAAAGATATTAGAAAAATCAATGAAGCGGAAAAAAAGAATCTACAATCTACAATTATATAATATATATGTATATTATGTGCTCTTCAAGTCAACGAACCTTGAAAATAAGCATGAGAGATCCAACGACTTTTTGATGATAACTAGAAAGAGAAGGGTCTCTAAGTATCCGAACTAAATAATTGATAGCAACCTGCAAAAGTAATAAATGTGAATTACAGAATTAGACTAAAGGAGTAAAGGTACGACTTCTTTTTATTTTCATTTTTTGGTAAAAAAACTTACAGTGGAGAAATAAGCTTCTGATGTTGCAAACGATGGCCAAAGATCCATTGGCAACTCATCACTAGACTGGATATGTAGGCCCGCATCATTGGTTGTACGAGTCCCATCACCAAGAGGTCCTTGTAAGCTTTGTTGATTGCGCTTATGAACATGAGGATCCAAAGCACCCATTATTCCAAGAACCTTATCAAAGATTTTTTTTTTCAGCATAAATATGTGTACATAACAACATAGAAACTAGAAAAGGGTAAAAAAAACATACCTTAAGAACTTCCCGCCTTGTAGACCATGCTAGCTCACCATTCAACAATTTTAAAAGTAAGCCCAGCAACTGTGGGTACTCATTATATGGAGCTATCACATAACTATAAACAAAAACCAACCAATTTTTGTAAAAAGTGTTTTCCCTTCTAAATATAGTGTCACGTGTAATATTGATATAGCTGAATACATACCCTGTGCTCTGTACAACCTGAACAAGAGTTGCAACATTGGGGAAAAGGAATGGTGGATCTAGATAGGAACCCTGTCTCACCTAATGGAAAATTTGTTCAAACAGATCCATCATTGGAGAGAGAAGGAAAATGGTGAATGTGTTTCTTGGGATGAATGATACAAGGGAGAGCCTTAATTTATACTAGAGCCTATGTAACATCCTATTTTTCCAATAGCTCCAAATTCATCCCTCGGATTTTAATTAGGTCATTTTGGCCCTTGATTTAGAAGGAAGTGGCAAAAGGAGGCCCTAGTGGCAAAATGGTAAGTTTGGAGACTTAAGTAGTACGTCGGGCGTACATGTGGTACATTAAGCGTACTAGGGCGCACCCTAGTACGCTGGATGTACACATGTGTACGCTGGGCGTACGTGTGCTAGAATGGAACCCTAACTTTTAGGGTTTGTGGAGTATTTAAGCACCTTATGGTCCATGTCCTCTCATCTCTTTTAGCCTCCACACCTCCCTCAGCCTTCTTGAGAGAACCCTAGCCTCCTAGTGACCATTCTTGAGCTTATAAGTGTGTTTTTGGTGCCTTCAAGAAGGAGCTTGTGCATCAAGGAGCCAAGGAGGGAAGATTGGCTTGTGGATCTTGGTTCATCATCTATTTTGGAAGCTCCAAAAGGTAAAAAGCTTGGAACTTTATGCTTGTATGAGATAGATCTAGTCATTCTAGCTTTATGGAAGCATTCTTTTCCTAAAAGTCCCAAAATGGTGCATGTTATGTTTTGGACGAAATGGGATGTCCTTTCAGACCCTTGTTGAGGTCTTAAGTGGTAAAAATGAGTTCCCAATGGCTTAAGATGTCCCATGCATGTAGTAGAAAGGTCTTAATGGATTAAGACCTAGGATTAAGAGATTTCTGGATGTCGCAAGTGATAAAGTTCGAGACTTTATAGTTCCCAGACACTTTTGGTCGATGGATCTGAAATATGGGCTTAAGTGCTTAAGTCATTAAGCACTTAGGAGAGTTTTGGTTCAGTCGCGAGTACGCCCCGCGTACATCCAGTACGCCCAGCCTACTGGGTCAACCACCCCGATGGTGGTCAACATCGGGAGAGTACGCCCAGCATACCAGAGGAGTACGCCCCGCGTATTTCCTCTGTTGGGCTTGTGTCATTTGGGCTTCGGGTTTTGGGCTTTGTTTGGTCTAGATGGGCTTGGGCTTTGCTGGACTCTCTGAATAATTGGATTTGGGCCAAGTTTTGATAATGGATCTTGGATTGAGGCCCAATTAGGGAGTTGGGCCAATTTGGTAAATTGGGCCAATAATGGGCTTTGCATAAGGACTTTCAAGTCAAGGACTTGGTATTGGACTTTGGACCAAAAAAGAGAATGGACTTAATGAGTTGTGTGGACCCTTAGTCAAGATTGTTATGTTGTGTAATCACTTGGTTTTATTATATCGATAGTTCGGGATCATTGGTGAGGCGGCGATTAAGGAGTTCGACTCTTCAGTTCGGATCTGACATTGCGAGGTGAGTTATCCTCACTGTAGTCAAGGGTCTAAGGCACCAAGGTCGGCCCTTTGATTTGTTATTTGGAATTGATATTGTTATGCTATGTTAGATCGGTATCTTGGTAGATAGGATGGCTATATGTTGGTATGCTATGTTAGATCGGTATCGTGGTAGATAGGATGGTTATATGTTGGTATGCTTTGTTAGATCGGTATCCTGGTAGATAGGATGTGGTTATGATTAGAGACCTATAGTTGGTCAGACTGTCTGTATGATGGTAGGAGATTACCTGTTATATGTGCACATGATTGATTGGTGGTTGAGGGTATTCCATCCCGAGGATGATAGGACCCTAGTATGTTGTCTCTATAGTGTGTTATATGATTATCTGATATAGATGCACATGTTTGATTGGTTATGGGCATTCCAACCTAATGGTTGTGGGCCGTGAGTATTCCATCCTGAGGATGATTGGACTCACAATATGTGGACATTCCAACCCGATGGTTGTGGGTCTGGGGTATTCCATCCCGATGGATGATTGGACCCATAATATTTGTGATATATATATATATATATATATATATATATATATATATATATTGTGTGTGGGCATTCCAACCCGATGGTTGTGGGCCGAGCGTATTCCATCCCGGGGATGATTGGACTCGAAGCAGGTGGGTATTCCAACCCGATGGTTGATTGGACCCATAGTAAGTTGGCATTCCAACCCGATGGTTGAGGGGCCTGGGGTATTCCATCCCGACGGATGATTGGACCCATAGTATGTTGTTTGTTATTGCATGTGTATTGTTGTGTGTATGGATATTTTGGGGGTAACTCACTAAGCTTTCGGGCTTACAGTTTCAGTTTATTGTTTCAGATTCAGAGGATGACCGCGGGAAGTCGAATGCGTGACCGTACACTTCCTCGATTTATGATTATGATTTCTGGGAACTCTGATGTTTAAACTATTTTGAAAACAGTTTGTAATAACTGAATGGTTTTATATGATTTAAAAAGTTTTAAATTGGCTCAAATTTTATGGATGTTACAAGTTGGTATCAGAGCCTTGGTTTGAGTGAATTGGAGGAACACTCGTGTGATTCCAGTCTCAAATCAAGGAAAGATTTTTAAAATGATTTTTAAATGGTTATCAAAATAAGTAAAAGAGGATGTGAAGTGTACGATCAGCCGGAGCCAGTAAGTAGACCGCAAAATACCATGTAGTTATTTGAGAATGTGATATGTTAGAACAGCATGCTAGTACTAGGCTAGGGATATTCAGGAATTGCATGATAGAATTGCCTGATTTTCATGATGCCTGGTAGCCTAGAGTTTTCCTTATATGAAATTGACATCATTACTGTAGTTGTTTGGTGTATGCATCACGGTTGTACATAATTAAGATCTTATAGCATGAGAATGTTTGATTTGGCGTTATGTTCAGTTATTGTTGATTAGGGGCTTAGGGTAGGATCAGATATTCGAAAGTCTATAGGGTCCAGCGTTATGTATGGATAGCATACATTAGTGCTGCAGGGTTGGTGGAAGTTTCATGGATGGGTGGGTTGTGTGAGGCCGGGAGGCCAGTTTCAAGATATTTATCATTCCTCTAGGAGTGAGGATTGAGCGCTTGCTATGTTTATGTAGAGTGTTAGGGCGTTGTGATGATACTTCAGACAGATATTGGTAGATGTGGAAGGTAGTATGGGCTTGTACTACTGAAAGCACAGGACCCATACGCGTAGCAAGGAAGTCAGAACCCCTAGGGTTGGGTTGGGAGTTGCTCCCCTGTCATATTATGGAGTATCAGAGATCTTTCTGGTGTCTGACCAGAATGGTGGTTACGAGACGTCTTGAGATCGGGTCCAGGTTAGGATCGGGAGCTGGCAGCCAGGATAGGCCAGCATTTTCAGAGGACCGTGTCAGTGAGATCATCCGGGAGGAGGTGATCGGGGTTGTCCAGGGACAGTTTCCGGAGATGTTGCGTCTATTAAGACCTCCATTGTTGAGTATTTCGACGAGCGCTATGCAGCCATTGCCGAGACGATTGTCGCGGCAGCTATAGCAGCTGTAACAACGGCAATGGGAGGAGCCGGTCGAGATTTCCAGTACTAGGCCATATTCTAATGAGCGGAGGGCTGCAGTTACTTGAGATCAGGGATATATTATGTACTCATTATATTCCGCGGGCTAAGCGGGAGTGGCTATCACAGGAGTGTATGGATTTGAGGATTCGGGGATTTAGCTCGAGGCCGGAACGCGAGTCGCGGGGACTCCGGAAAGGAGTGATTATTATGTTCAGTTGGAGTTTTGTAACTGAAAGTAGAATGAAGGATCGGACTGTCGTTTTATCGGGCAAGGCTTGTGCCCTTTCAATTTTCGAGCTTGAAGGAGTGAGCAGGCTTGTGACCCCAGGATCAGGTTGTATTTCAGCACGGGGTCAGTTGGTTGCAGGGATTGGCGACATTATTCTAGCGCTAGTGAGCGAAGGTGGGTCGAGGTGACATAAGTATTTTGTGAGGTCCGATTTGCCTTGGATCTCTTGTATCAGACGGTAAAGGTTGATTATGCGACCTATTGCAATGTTGGGATTGTAGACTATGTCTTAGGAATAGTTGTAGCCCGGATTAGGGCAGAGGTTGCTTCAGCTGCTGAAGTTCAACTGTGGACGTTTGAGCAGGTGAGTGAGTCAGGGTGCGAGCCCTGAATGAAATAATTTCTAGAACCCAAAGGTGGGAGACTTGTTTGGAGCACCTTTGAAAAGGGGGTATTATATGGGAGGTCTACGGATAGGATCCCACAGAAGGGTTATCCAACATTGTCAGGAATCAGCGGTTTTAGCAACCGTTCGTGATTGACGGATGAAAGCACCAAGGGAAGTAGCTCGTCACCGAGGTATTAGTTGGAGCATCTATCTTTTGGTCTTCAGGATTTGAGTGTGGGATCATTCAAGCATTAGTGATTGTCGGTTTCTCTGGGATTCAGGAAGTGTTCATCTGGTTCTTAGAAGTGTGTGATCATTTGGGATTGACTAGTAATGGAGCGCTAGATAGAAAGAGTTGGTTGTCATCGGATCGATTGTTTGGAAGTGATAAGGAATGGGAATCCTCCAATCTTCATGTATTGTGAAGACTTAGTCAAAGCTAAGTGAAGGAGAATCATCCCGGGATACAGAAGCAGGAGCGGTGTTGAAAATGGGTTAAGTTTCGCATCGTGGTCAGGAAGGAAGACAACCCAAGTGGCTGTTTGGTTTGAGGGTTGTGTGAGTGGGGAGTTCGGTAAAACTCCCTAGCATGTGTATCACGTCTTCTTGGTGCTTGATAGAAGAAGTTAGGTAACCAGGTTGGAGTTCTAGTCATGAATTGAGTTCAGTTCGAGTATTCGTTCGAGGGTGTGCTCGACTCTGAGGGTTTTTTTTGGATTGATAGATTGAGGGTTTTGTTGGCTGCCAGGGCTCGGCAGTACTTTTAGCACGGGTGTGCGGGTTATTTAGAATATGTGGTAGACACACGGATCAGGGAGCAGACCACAG